AATAGCAGCGGAACGTTATCTGTTAACAGTGGCAGAAGATGAGCCCCTCCAGGTTGGAAGGCACTCAAAATATGAGTGGGAAAGAGCTACCTCCTTATGGTAGAGTTTACCTTAATGTTGTGGATATAGTAAAGCTTTCAGGACCTTCATTTGCTGATGTGGCACAACTCAAAGTAAGAAGTAACAGCTGCAAACATACATTTGTAATTGGAACATGGAGTGTACGAAGTATAAATCAAAGAATATTGGAAGTCATCAAAAATAAAATGGAATGTTTGAGGATTGATATCCTAGGCATTAGTGAGCTGAAATGGACTGATATTGGCCATTTTGAATCGGACAATCATATAGTCTACTATGCTGGGAACAACAAATTGAAGAATAATAGCATTGAATTCATCATTTCAAGATATATCCTAAAGTACAACTCTGTCAGTGATAGAATAATATCTATACTTTTACCAGAAAGACCAGTTAATATGACTGTTATTCAAATTTATACAGCGAGCACTAAGGCTAAAGATGAAGAAACTGAAACTTTTTATCAACTTCTGCAGACTGAAATTGACTGAACATGCATTCAAGATGCATTGATAATTACTGGTGATTGGAATCCAAAAGTTGGAGACAGAATAGAAGGATCGGTAGTTGGAAAATACAGCCTTGGTGATAGAAACGACACCAGAGATCACATGATCGAATTTTGCAAGACCAAAAACTTATTCATTCTAAATACCTTTTTTTTAACAACATAAACAGTGGCTATACATATGGACCTCACTGGATGGAATACACAGGAATCAAATCACCTACATCTGCGGAAAGAAATCGTGGAAAAGCTCAGTATCATTAGTCAGAACAAGACCAGTGGCCAACTGTGGAGCAGACCTTCAACTGCTCATATGCAGGTTCAAGTTGAAGCTGAAAAAAATTAAGTCCACGAGAGCCAAAATATGACCATGAGTATATCCCACCTGAATTTGGAGACCATCTCAAGAACAGATTTGATGCACTGAACATTAATGACCGAAGACCAGATGAGTTGTGGTTATGGCATCAAGGACATAACACATGAGGAAAGCAAAAGGTCATTAAAAAGACAGGAAAGAAGTAAAAGACCAAAATGGATGTCAGAGGAGACTCTGGAACTTGTGCTTGAACATAGAGTAGCTAAAGTGAAGGGAAGAAATGATGATATAAAGGCGCTGAACAGAAGGTTTCAAAGTGTTGCTTAAGAAGATAAAGTATTATAATGACATTTGTAAAGACCTGTCCTTAGAAAACCAAAAGGAAAGAACACGCTCGGCGTTTCTCAGGCTGAAAGAACTGAAGAGAAAATTCAAGCCCTGAGTTACGATACTGAAGGATTCTTTGGGGAAAATATTAAACGAAACAGGAAGCATCAAAAGAAGATGGAAGGAATATGCCAAAAAGAATTGATCGACGTTCAGCCATTTCCAGAGGTAGCATCTGGTCGAGAACCAGTGGTATTGAAGGACGAAGTCCAAGCTGCACTGAAGGCACTGGCGAAAAGTAAAGCTTCAGGAATTGACAGAATACCAGTTGAGATATTTCAACAAACAGAAGCAGCATTGGAGGTGCTCCCTAGTCTGTACCAAGAAATTTGGAAGACAGCTGCCTGTCCAACCGACTGGAAGAGATCCATAGAAAGATGGTTCCATTCCAAAGAAAGATGATTCAACAGATTGTGAAAATATCATAAACATCACACACAAGTAAAATTTTGCTGAAGATAATTCAAAAACAGTTACAGTAGTATATCAACAGGGAACTGCCGGAAAGTCAAGCCAGATTCAGAAGCAGATGTGGAACAAGGAATATCACTGCTGATGTCAGATGGATCTTGGCTGAAAGCAGAGGATACCAGAATGATGTTTACATGTATTTTATTGGCTGTGTAAAGGTATTCGACTGTGTGGATCATAACAAATTATGGATAACATTTTGAAGAACAGGAATTCCAGAACACTTAATTGTGCTCATGAGAAACCTGTAGATAGATAGAGACAGTCGTTTGAACAGAGCAAAGGGATGGTGCGTGGTTTAAAATCAGGAAAAGTGTGCATCTGTACGCTGAGCAAATAATCCAAAAAGCTGGACTATATGAAGAAGAACTCAGCATCAGGATCGAAAGAAGACTCATTAACAGTCTGTGGTGTCCAGATGATACAACCTTACTTGCTGGAAGTGAAGAGGACTTGAAGCTCTTACTGATGAAGATCAAAGACTTCAGTATGGATTACACATCAACATAAAACAAAAATCCTCACAACTGGACCAATAAGCAACATCATGATAAGCAGAGAAAAGATTGAAGTTGTCAAGGATTCATTCTACTTGGATTAACAATCAACGCCCATGGAAGGAGCAGTCAAGAAATCAAAAGACATATTGCCTTGGGCAAATCTGCTGCTGATCTCTTTTAAGTGTTAAAAAGCAAAGATGTCACTTTGAGGACTAAGGTGCACCTGACCAAGCCATTGATTTTCATTCGCCTCAGCTGCATGTGAAAACCCTGGTGGCATAGTGGTTAAGAGCTACGGCTGCTAACCAAAAGGTTGGCAGTTCGAATGCACCAGGCTCTCCTTGGAAACCCTATGGGGCAGTTCTGCTGTGTCCTATAGGGTCACTATGAGTCAGAATCGACTCGACGGCAGTGGGTTTTCATATGCATGTGAAAGCTGGGCAACGAATAAGGAAGACCAAAGAAAAAATGCCTTTGAATTATGGTTTTGGTGAAGAACATTGAATATACCATAGACTACCAGACGAATGAACAAATCTGTCTTGGAAGAAGTACAGCCAGAATGCTCCTTAGTAGCGAGGATGGTGAGAGTTCATCTCACGTGCTTTGGACATGTTTTCACGGGGGAGCAGTCCTTGGAGAAGGACATCATCCTTAGTAAAGCTGAGAGTCAGCAAAAAAGAGGAAGACCCACGACAAGATGGCTTGACACAATAGCAGCAGTGGACTCAAACATAGCACCAGTTGTGACGATGGTACAGGACTGGACAGCGTTTTGTTCCATTGTACATAGGGTTGCTATGAGTTGAAACTGACCAGAAGGCACCTAACAACAACAATGTTAACGTAGAAAATCTCACAAAACATTTATTACAGTTGAAAGAATAATTATTTTAAAAAGTTTTGTTCCTGTTACTCAGCTTAAAATTGTCCATTCCTGATCATAAGCCTTTCTCCCTCCTGAAGTAATCATTGTTTAGAAGAAATCATTTCCGGGCAAAGAAACTAGATCAGTGGAAATGGAACAACCAGTATGGAAGTAACGAGAATGTTCATACACTGTGAATAATGTAACCAACGTCTCCAAACAAGTTGTGTAGAAATTGTTGAATGGGAATGGAAACTGCTGTGTAAACCCTTACCGAAAATACAATAAAATATTATTTAAAAAAAATCATTTCCTTGTTTTGTTTTATATTTTTACCATTTGTATGCATTTCTATAATACAGTATTTCCTGTTTTTGAACTTACCTGTAGGATAGTATTTCACGTATCCTTTGTATTTTTTTCATTCAACATATGTAACCTATATCTTTGTTACATATAGTTGTTGTCCATTCATGCTTTTTTAATGTTGTAATACATTTTTTAATTGTGATAAAAATAAGTGTTAACAAAATAATTGCCAATTCAATTTTTACATGTATAATTCAGTGACATTATGTTCATCATGTTGTGCAACCATTACCAGTATCATTTTCCAAATTATTGCACCATCATTAACAGTAACTCGTTGTTGCCTGAGCATTGACTTCTCCTTTCCCCCTTCCTCCCACCCCTGGTGCCACTAGTAAGCTTTGGTGTTCTATACATTTATCTGCTTCATATACGTGCGATCATACGGTATTTGTCCTTTTGTGACTGACTTGTTTTCAAGGTTCATCCATGTTGTAGCATGTGTGTATCAGAACTTCAGTATCTCTTTATGGCTCAGTAATATTCCATTGTATGTATGTAACACATTTTGTTTACCCATTCATCTGTTGATGGACATTTCAGTCCATTCATTTTTATTGCCAATGTATTTTATTGAATGAAGTGTCCATAATTTATCCATTCTTCTGTTGATGGGCCTGTGGGTTGGCTGAGTTTGGGGTTGTTAGAAATAGTGCTGACGTTCTTCTACATGTGTGCTGGTGCAAAAGTACACATTTCTTGAGGCTATGTATGTAGAGGTAGAATTGCTAATCTTCACTTTTTCTAAATAATGCCAAATGATTTTCCAAAGCGGTTGTTCCAGTTAGTACTCACTATAAGAGTTCCTGAGGCCCTGTTGGTGCAGTGGTTAAGAGCTATGGCTGCTAACCAAAAGATTTGGCAGTTCAAATCCACCAGCTGCTCCTTGGAAACCCTATGGGGCAGTTCTGCTGTATCCTGTAGGGTCACTGTGAGTCAGAATTGACTTGATGGCAGTGTTTTTTTTTTCTTTTTTTTTTTTAATGAGAGCTCCTGACAGTACTTGATAATATTAGATTTTTTAATTTTGACCAGTTTGTTAAGTGTGTAATGATATTTTACTGTAGATTGAATTTATTGCTTTATTGTGATGGCCTTGAATTTATTGCTTTATTGTGATAGCCTGTGATGGAAGAAGCCATTTTAACATGAAAATTGTTTTTTATACAATTGAGGATATATGTTGTTTAAAAATTTGTATTATAATTGTATCCTAGTTGCTTGTGAATGTGTACAAATAATAGATTTTCAACATTTAAGTATTTGTTGACATTAGGAAAGTTTAGCCGAATTGAGGTGAGAGGTTGTTAAAAATGAAAAAATTTTACTGGAAATTAGTTTCCTGGAACGTTTTCTGAAGGTATGATTTAATTTTTCTTTGAATTTATCTTTATCACATGAAGATTTTTTTATTACATTGCTAGATTATGTTACCTAAACAGTTCTCTCACAAATCATCTAATTTTGATTGCTTTTCTTAAATACAGCTGTGCAAACCATAAAGTATGGAGGTGGAGGAGCAGTAAAGCTTGTGAGAGGGCTCTGCAATATAAAGTAGGAGAAAAAATCCATGGATTCACTATAAACCAGGTACTGGTACATTTTGATGTGCTGTTTATATGTTGACGTCATAACAGATGCAACTTCTGCTGGCATGTGAGTTCTTTCAGAGCAGAGATCAATTTTTTCATCTTTGTGTCCCGAGAACCAGGCATACTTCTGCTACATTGCCGGTGCTCAACTGAATAGAGTTTGCAGATTAAATGATTTCCTGATTCTTAAGTTTAAGTATGGGCTCTGGTGGTACAATTGTTAAGTATTTGGCTGCTAACCAAAAGGTTGGCAGTTTGAATCCACCGGCCACTCCTTGGAAACCTTTTGGGGCAGTTCTACTCTGTCTGGTAGGGTTGCTATGAGTCGGAATCGACTTGATGGCAACGAGTACAGGTAAGTAAGTACAGATCCCCAGTCCTGTACCTGAACCTCTTGGTGCCTGACATCTTTTGGTAATCAGAATTTTTCAGATTTTAGGAAATAATGTTCCCAGAGGGTCTGGGATCAGCCCTTCATAATTAAACACATTGATATTTCCGTAGCCAGACATACAACTGTTCACACAGAGTGTGATAAATAAAAACTCTAAATGCCTCACGTCAGTTCTGGTTAGGTTTTGCTACCAAAAAAGTTTGTTGCAAATTTATGCTCTGAGCCATTGTGTTTCTGAATTACAGATAAGGGATTGTGGACCTGTATTCATTCAGATTTATATTATGATAGATTTTATTGGTTCTTGTTTTTGTTTACTTGTTTTGTGTTTTTGTTGTTTTTTGCATAAACTATCATATTACTTTTTTAATTTAAACTAATAATTGAAAAATAAGTACTTCAGATATTTGACTGACTGTTGACTTTATGCTATGCTTGATGCCATAAGAAATATAAAGACAAACAGCCTACAATCGGGAAAGACACATATGCATTATAATACAAGGGACAGTGACTAATGTCAGAGCAGAAATGCAAAGTGCAAGAGAAAACAGAAGAAGGAGAGTGTATTGCTTCTGGGTAGTGAAATAGGGAAAAGTTCATGGAGAAAGTGGCATTTAAGTTAAGAAGAGATGGCAAGATTATTGGTGAGTGCTCTAGCAAAGTGCACATCGTGAGTAAGCGGTGATGTGGGGAGTTCAAGGCAAGGTCCAGGGAATGTGAGTCATTTGGTTTGACTGACTCATGGGGTTCCTGAAAGTGAGGTCAGAGCATTTATAAAGTCTCTAAAGGCCATGCAAGAAGTTTGGATTTATTATACAACTTAGGGGTAGTACAGACCTTATTCAGAGTGGATTCTTTTCCTTTGTTTTTCAAGCTTTATGAAGATCTATTTTAATGATAAACCCATGATTCTTGTTTGAGAAATTTGTACTTGAAAGCTATTATTAGGGAAACACGTTAACGTATCTATTATAATTTTAAATAAATTCATTTCTTACAAAACTCGGTAAACGTTGATACATAAATAAGTAACCATAAGTCATGCAAGCTTTATTACTTAGCAGACCACTTTAGCATCTCATTTGTGTGGCAGTAGTCCTATAGTAGGCTCAGAAGATCTGAGTTCTAATTTCAGCTCTACCAGTAACTTGTTGTGTGAGTCTGAACAAGTTACTTTCACCACATCTGAAAAATGGAGATAAGTTGTGTCGTTATCATAGTGATATGGTATTGTGCCTGAAGGAATGATCGCCAGCTGACATAGTTGGAAGTAAAAATCTCTTTAATACAAAAGAATGTAGAGTCTTCAGTAGAGGTTTACATAAAGTAAGAGATGACCACACCCTGGGAATGAGGATTCATTCATTTTTATTGGGAATGTTTATATCCTCTGGCCCCTGTCACTGTTCTGGAGACTGCTGGATGCATGCTGATCTTCCAGTATAAACAAGTAACTGGTATGACCCCAGCTCAGCACTGAGAACTTAGCATAAACTAGATGAAGCCAAGTTTTGCTCCTGGGAGCATCCTTCAACTGCTCCAGGCTAAGGCTCATTCTAGCAATGACCTTTCTTACAGGGTCATTCTGAACACTAAATGAGATGAAATGTGTAAAAGCAAAAGACAACACAGCAGACATCAAAAAGCGAGAACCATTATTATTACCACAAGGCAGCATAGTATAATGGAAAGAGCACAGAGAGACCATGGTTTGAATTCTGCCTCTGTGTGATCTTAGGCAAATTATTCCATCCCTCTAAGCCTCAGTTTTTCCATCTCTCAGTGAGGACGAGAATACCTGTCACACAGGGAAGTATATGAAGTGTTTTATAAATGTTGAGCAACTACTACTCAAAAAAAAAAAAAGTAATATTATCAGCTTTAGGCCTTAATTTCCTCATCTGTAACATAAGGAACTTGAACAAATGGTTTCTGATGTCCCTTCCAGCCCTGAAATGCTGGGTTCCCGTATTGTCTAATTTAAGGCAAACAAACCATCTCAGTTTATTTAAAATAACCATATTTTTCTTAATTCAGGTGACACCTATTCCTGAACTGTTCTTGACTGCAGTGAAGCTCAGTCATGACAACACAGGTGCTAGATACTTACACCTGGCTAGAGAAGACAAAAATAATTTGTTTAGGTATGTGGTGCATTGTAAGAACATGTTCTAGAAGTGTTTCTACTTCAAATACCTACCATACATTTAGTAGTTGAAAGTTATATCTCAGTAATATTTTATTGTCATTGACAGATTATTCCAAAAATATAAGGAAAAGATTATATGGATTTGTATCCTCAGCTTTACACATTAATATTTTATAGTCCGAAGCAGTGATCTTATATGTTGTAGTTAGAAAACATTTTGTTGAAAGATTATGATATTAAAATGATTAATTCTAATAATCTGAGGTAATTAGATGTTAAAAAGCTGTACTAGTCTTAAGCTTAACCTTTTGTCATTTGTTTATTCTCTTTTTTTCTTTGTCTTAGTGTACAGTTTCGTACTACTCCAATGGATAGTACTGGTGTTCCACACATTCTTGAGCATACAGTTCTTTGTGGTTCTCAGAAATATCCATGTAGAGATCCTTTCTTCAAAATGTTAAATAGGTCATTATCAACTTTCATGAATGCTTTCACAGGTGAGACTGATGTCCTGAACTGAAATCAGTTAGTTTCTAAGAATAAATAGGATACTTGGCTCCCTGTGGACTAGAGTAAATTACCCGCCTGCCTAGATGGAGGGTGTTAGAAATTTAATCGTTTAGGAAAACCACACGGCGGTCGAATCATCAAAAGTGAGAGTTTTTAGGAAATGTGTGAGTTTTTTCTGGAAGAGTTCAAAACATTTCTTTCGAGAATGTTACTACAGAATTAGGCCTTTATAACATTATCACTCATCTTGATGTAGCTGTTGTTTGGGTTTTGCATTACTGTCTACGAAGATGGTAAATAGTGATGGTGCCAACAAGCAGTGCTGTCAGAGCAAAGGTGCTATTCTTAGAAGAGTGAAATTGAAAGAGCAAATTAAATTAATTCCCTTACAGAATGAAGTTCTCTTTTTTTGGCATATAAAATAATAACTCTGGAGGAACTTAAACTGTGTAAATGTTTAATGAAGGAATTAGCAGTAAGTGTTCATTCTGTGCCCAGCCCTGTGTCAGATCTGGAAAAGTTAAAACTCAAGAGTAAGCAAAGCAGGAGTAGTGGCAAGGTCATAGATCAAAGCATGGAACTGGTATCATTTGTTCCATTGATATTTAGACCTTATTTTTATGGTGAAATTAGGCTTGAAAGTAAGTAAATTTAGTAGGAATCTGTTATATCTTAAATTCTTCTTTTCATTTGTACCCAGCTAGTGATTATACTCTCTATCCATTTTCTACACAAAATCCCAAGGATTTTCAGAATCTCCTCTCGGTGTATCTGGATGCAGCCTTTTTTCCTTGCTTGCGGGAACTGGATTTCTGGTATGTAACAGTTCTTGAATTGATTTAGACTTTTAAGTATTGGCATCTTTATCATCGTACAATTATTATTATTTAGGCAAGAAGGATGGAGACTAGAACATGAGGATCCAGCTGACCCCCAAACACCCTTGATCTTTAAAGGAATTGTCTTTAATGAAATGAAGGGAGCATTTGTAAGTTTTTTTCCTTTTTTAAATTGTGTTAAAATTATGATTTTAGCTGTGTAAAATAGGGAAGACAAATAGATTTGGAAGATAGTTGACGTTCTAATATTTCATTTAATATTCTTATGTAACTTCTTGAATTAGCTGGAGGCAGTGCTGTGTGCAGAAACCATAGGATGATAGAGGGGCCAGGCTCCTGTTCATTCTAGAGCCTTGTCTTCTACACTGGGGTCTGGGAACACCTGGTATGTAATCTCCAGGAGGTCTATGAGGTAAAAACTGTTTTTGTAATAAACTTAAGACATCATTGTCTGTTTCACTCTCACGTTTCCCCAAGGGTACAGTGGAGTTTTCCACAGTCTACGTTACATGACATGTAATAACACAGCATATTGAATACAGAAGCAGATAGGAGAATCCAGCTGTCTGTTATTAAGCCAGACACGAAAGAGATTTGCAGAAATGTAAAATAGGGCTACTCTTCTCAATAATTTTTTTTATTTTGTTAATGAAAAATACTTAAAAAAAAAATTTATGTTAATATGTAATGCTGGGCTGTAAGTTAATGAATGAATAGTAACTATTTTAAAAATGTCTCAGCTTTAATTTCTAATACAGAAAATACTTATTTTATATACCTATAATCCTACATTTCTGATACAGGAAAATTATATACTTACAAATCTACATAATAGAATATATATATATATATATATATATTCCAAAGCTCTGTGGGAACCTCATTAATTTTTAGGTGTGTAAAGGGGTCCTGAGACTAAAATGTTGGAGAACTGCTGGTCTAGACCTTTGTCATCATTTCCCATGTTGACTTTCAAGACCTGCCCCTGATTTTATGCTAGTATTCTGAAGTGCTTGGGGTTGTGTGTATTTACTATGCTGTTTCCTGATTTCTTGCCTGTGACCTCTTTCAGCTGACAAACTTTCTTATCCTTTAATACTCAACTTGGGTATTATTTCTATCAGGACACTTTGTTGAAACTCAGGTTACGGTAACTACCTTTGAAATCCTGTAACTCCCATGGAATCTCCATCTCCCATACAGTTAGTGGGCAAAAATGAATCCTACTGCTTCCTTCCTAATTTCACCATGCCCTTCTCTTTGCTTTCAGTTGTGCAATTATTGACTACCCAGTACATATTGAAAAGCAAATTTTCCTTTCTTCTCAGAGAGAGCCAGCCCTTGGCTCCTATGTGCAGATTATTAATGAGTTGAATGCTTACGTTAATCAGTATCTGCCTGAATGTCCATGTTTACTTTTAGAACAGTTTTATTTGCAAGATGTTATATGCTCCCAGAATGTGATTGATTTGCTGTATTGTAATATAATAATGTGTGTATGTATATACATATGTGTGTGTGTGTGTGTATATGTATATATTTTTTTTTTTTTAATTTGAAGACAGATAATGAGAGGATATTCTCACAGCATCTTCAAAATAGACTTCTTCCTGACCACACTTACTCAGTCATCTCTGGTGGCGATCCATTATGCATCCCAGATCTTACATGGGAACAACTTAAACAATTTCATGCTACTCATTATCATCCAAGTAATGCTAGGTAACCTTTCATTTTTAAAGTTTAATGGTGGATTGTTAATTTGCTTGCTTGCATTATCTTACATTAAATGATACTGTTTCACTCACATTTAACAAAGAAATCATTGCTTAAGAAATATGTAGGTTTATGTAAAATTCTTTGCTTAATAGATTACTTGTCTAATTTATGTGGATGTTCATTTAAAAAAATTTATAATGATGAATCTTAGACAGCACAGTACAGTGGTTCTGTACTGCCTGGTTCTGTACTGAGTCCTGGTTCCACTGCCCTCCAGCTTAGTGAGCATTACCCTCTCTGTGTCTCAGCCTTATTATGTATATGTAATGATGGTACTCATCATGATGGCATCTGCCTCATAGAACTAATGCAAATAATATGTGTAAAGCAGTTAGCGCTGTACTTGGCTCATAGAAATACTCTATAAATGGTGGTTGCAGTTTTTAAACCTTATTTTTGATAAATTTCTAGTTTCATATATAGCATTAATTATGTTAATTATCTGATATTAATGTAAAATCATTTTCAATATTATAAAATTTTGAAATTTTTAATTATGAAAACTTCCAAGCATTCAGAAAAGTAGATAGGATAAAATAATGAACCTCATAGATAAAATAATCAGATTATTTTCTTTGCTTAAGTATTTTGAAGTAAATTACAGACATCATAGTTTACCCTTAATACTTGAATATGTAAGCCTAAAACATAAAGATATTTTCTTACGTAACATAACACTATTTAGAAGAAAATTATCTTAAAATTGTCTAGTGTTTATATTCAGATTTTCCTAGTTGTCCCCAAAATTTCTGACTGATACAAATAAGGCCCACACGTTGCATTTAGTTATTGTCTCTCAACCTGTTGCCAGCAAGTCAATTTCAATTTCTGGTGACCTCTCGTGTGTAATAGTAGAACTGTGCTCCATATAGTTTTCAATGGCTGGTTTTTCAGAAGTAGATCGCCAGGGATTTCTTCCAAGGTGCCTGTTGGTGAACTCAAACCTACAACCTTTCAGTTAGCAGCCAAGCACATTAACCATTTTCACCACCCAGCTTGTTGTTGTTAGATGATCTTGAGTCAGTTCTGATTTGTAGCAACCGTATATAGAACAGAACGAAACACTACCTCTGTCCTGTACCATCCTCATAATCATTATGTTTGAGCCCATTGTTGCAGCAACTGTGTCAGTCCATCTCGTTGAGGGTCTTCCTCTTTTTCGCTGATCCGCTACTTTACCAAGTATCATGTCCTTCTCCAGGGATTGATCCCTCCTGATAGCATGTCCAAAGTACATGAGACGACATCTTCCATCTTCGCTTCCTAGGAGCACTCTGGCAATACTTCTTCCAAGACAGACTTTTTGTTCTCCTGGCAGCCCATGGTATAGTCAGCGTTCTTCATCAGCACTATAATTCAGCTTACTTATCTTTTAATGTAGGACAGTGGCCCTCTTCCTTTTTGTCATTGACTTGTTGAAGAAATCAGTTCAAGTATCCTTTGGAATTTCTGATTGTTTTGTGGTATTGGTTTATTCCTTTATTTCCTGTATTTCTTGACAACTGTAAGTTAGATCTGAAGATTTGGTTAGAGTCAAGTTAAGCATTTTTCAAAATGAGTACTTTATAGGTGATGCTGTATATTACATTTTGCATCACATCAGGTTTCATATAATACTGGTTTATCTACAGAGAGGGATGCTAAATTTGATTGCACCATTGAAAACTTCTGCTTTTCTTCCTGTACCTCAGGAAATTTTGTGGGTCGATATTCTAGAACTCAGATAATATTGAGTTCCTTATTAACCAATTAATGGTTTTAGTATTCATTAATTATTGTAGCCTGAATCAATTTTATGAGTGTTTGCAAAGTTTTCTAATCCTATAATTTCTTCTACATATATTAGCTGGGCTTCTGTGAAGAGCTTTCTGTCATCACCTGGGGCTGTTCTGTTACCCTGAAGTACAGTTCTAATGGAAGGGCGGGAAGAATGCTTCTTTCCCTTTAACATCCAATTTTGGGAGAGATGGTGTTAATAGCTACCTCTAGTGATGACAAAAGAGGCTCTTGTTTTTAGCTTTCTTTGGTTTTGTTTTGTTTTTTAATATTACGACCTCATAGAATTTTCTGTGTATATATATTTGAACTTTTGTCATCAAATGGAATCTCATATATTATGCTCAAATTGTCCCAGCTGTGGCCAGTGGGAGTTTCTTTAAGCTCATCATGTGTCTTTTTGCCAGAGTCTTATTAGTCTTCAACAACTTGATTTCTGACACACACACAGACACACACACACGTTCACACATCCATCCAGATTCCATGCTCATCTTATACATTCCCTGCTCCACATTTTCAGTTAATCATTTCTGTAAGGAGTTCTGTGACTATTAGTTGGGAATGTCCTTTAAAGACCAATATCTAGATACTGAAGTGCTGATTGCTACTGGATTATCATTGTTTCTAAGTCTTCGGGTATACAAATTTAAAAAGATCTTTAATACACTTGTTGTTGTTTGGTACTGTCGAGTTGATTTTTGAATCATAGCACCCCCGTGTGACAGAGTAGAACTGCCCCAGAGAGTTTTCTAGGCTGTAATCTTTAAAAAAAAAAAAAATTTTATTCTGTTTTCATTGAAAGAGTACACAGCAAATTAGGTTCCCATTTGATGATTCCTATACAAATCGTTCAGTGACGTTAGTTCAGTGACAGTAGTTCACAATGTGTCAGCGTTCTCTTTAATTGCATTCTGGTTGTTCCACTTCCAGTGCTGTGGTTTCCCTGTTCCCTTATCTTCTCATCTTTCCTTTAGAGTAATTGTTGACCTTTTGGTCCCATATAGATGGTTTTTTAATGGAGCACCGTACTCATGGCTAATATCCTTTATTTTGTTTGCCAGTCTGTTATTTCGCTAAATGGTGACCTTGGGATAGTTCCAGTTCAAAGTTTAAAGAGTATCTCAGGGCGATAGTCTTAGGGAGTCCTCTAGTCTCAACTGATCCAGTAAGTCTGGACTGTTTAAACAGTTGAGTTCTGTGTTTTTGTCCTGTTTCTATCGGGGTCCATCTGTTGTGGACCTGATCAGAAGTCAGTGGTGGTAGTTGGATACCATCTAGTTCTTCTGGTCTCAGGCTAGATGAGTCCATGGCTCAGGTAGGGTGTTAGCCCTGTAGACTAGTTTCTTCTCTGAGACTATGGATTCCTTCTTTGTGTTTTGCTCCTGACAAGTAGAAACCAGTAGTTGTGTCTTCGATGGCTGCTCGCAAGCTTTTAAGACCCCAGATGCTGCTCACCTCACTAGGATACAGAACATGAATGTTGTGAACTGTATTATGCTGATTGACTGAGTTGTCTCATGAGACTAAGGTCCTAAGCCTTCAGAACCAGAAAACCAATCTCGCAGGTGTTTGGTTATGTCTGAGAAGTTATCTGTAACTATATCCTCTATGAATATATATGTGTGTACACATATCTGTATGTACATATACATATGGAGCCCTGGTGGCACAGTGGATAAGAGTGCAGCTGCTAACCAAGAGGTCAACAGTTTGAATCTACCAGCTGCTGCTTGGAAACCCTAAGGGGCAGTTCTACTCTGTTTTTAGGTTCACTGTAGATGCTTCTATCTGTGCACACATATGTACACATCTGCACCTGCCCATACAGATATATGCCTGTACACCTACATATGTGATCATACACTCGCTTTTTGGTTATTGTTGGTGTTGTTGTAGACTGTAATCTCTACAGAAGCAGATCACCAGGTCTTTCTCCCATGGATCGGACTACCAACCTTTTGGTTAGCAGCTGAGCCCTTAGCCTTTGCGCTACCAGGGCTCCCTTTTTTTTTTTGACACTAGTTCCCAAAATCTTAATACAGCTCAGACAACATTTAAAGAAAAAGAACAACTCTGTCATATAAACCTCCTCAGTTGAATAAATGTGTTACCTTAAAAACATTTATAATCTGAAATTTATAACCTAAAATTGAATTTTATGAAATTCTTTATTTTGGTTTTTAGTCTTAGATGGATTTACAATACATTTACAATACAATATTGCTATAACTAGGGTCGTAAATTATTTCAAGAAATAACTTGGTATTTACAACACCTTTATAGTAGGTTTAAATAAAATATCAGTTTTTGCCAACTTTACATTTAATTAATTCCTTCAGCACAAGTCATGTTTTTTTTTTTTTACAACCAACTTATTTTTTAAAAAAAGAAAAAAACCTCTTTGGTATTTGTAGTTAAATAAGTGGGAAAAAAATGTCTTTCTATATATAAAGTTCACTGTGAGAACTGGCTTGTTATCAGCTGCTATATATTGTATATTCTCCATTTCATGTAGAAAGCCTTCACTATTGGTTTCTAATCTTTTAACTAAAATAAACTATCTTCTTTAAATTTTAGGTTCTTCACTTATGGTAATTTTCAGTTAGAAAAGCACCTGAAACAAATTGATGAAGAAACACTGAGTAAATTTCAGAAAATTGAACCAAGTACCATAGTGCCTGCTCAGAAGCCTTGGGATAAGCCTGTAGGTCCATAGAATAATCATTTTTTAAAAATTATACCTATTAAACATATTAAGGCTTGAACTGTGTGTCAATAATATGATTTTAAAATGTTTTTGTGGGCTGTACAATGTATTCAAGAGCTTTTCAAGCCTAAAGGATAGTTATTTGTTTAAAAAGAAAGTTCATTTAGTAAAAAGCATCTTTTGGACCAATTCCCATATCCATACAATCTATGCTGGTTTAAAACTGTTCAGACTCTATGCTTATTTAAAATACCATATCATTTTACAGAGGGAATACCAAATAACGTGTGGCCCTGATTCACTTGCTACAGATTCCTCTAAACAGACAACTGTGAGTGTCAGCTTCCTCTTACCAGGGTAAGTATGAATTGTTAAAGCTTATAACAGTTAGTAAACAGTAGAAAACTCTCCAAGTTAGAATGTTAGGAAGTGAGTTCTACAATCAAGTATAAATTAATGTATAGTTAGCATTTAGGAGTCGAGCAGGTTTTCAGACTAGAGAGCAAAGTGTCAGGAAAGGTTTTAACAACATCTGAGATGATTTTGGGGGAAGGTCACTTTTGGTAGTTGTCCAGAAGAAAAATAATTTACGTCTTTCTTGTATTTTAAAGCTTTCGTTGCCTGCAGAGGAAAAACTGGCCTATAACAGCATTTGTTGACATTTTGGGACTCACCAGTCCCTTTGAGCATGAGAAGAATACTATGAACATTTGCCTCAGAAAAATATAAGACATAGCAAAACTTTGTAACTCTAGAGATTTCATGGACACCAGATTAGGAAAGGAAGGACGTTACCTTGGCTACACACACTGGTTGGTCTGCCTGCCACTTAGTAGTTAGATAGCCTTGAACAAATCCCTTAATCTCATTTCAGTTTCTTGTCTACAGTGTTGATGTTAGAATTGTTGTAGATAAGTTGGAATAATATATGTGAAAGTACTTGACAAACTGCCACGTGATAAGCATTGGATACCCAGTTAAATCAATTTTATGATTTGGTGCCAAAAAGGAAAAAATCACAGTATGTAAATGCCTTGTAAGCTACAAGCATAGTTACTCTCTTTCACTCAGTCAGTTATTAAAATGGAGGTTGTAATGCAAGGTTGTAGTAGAACTTCAACTTCATTGGAGATAAGAGTGTTAATGGTGATTTAAAAAATATTACAAGGGCAGCAACAATTTTTCTTTTTTCTTTTTTTTTTGTTTTTGTTTACTTTCTTTCTCTTCCCTGCCCTCCCATTCCCCTTTTAAATGAAGAATCACCAATACATTTGAAGCCTTCACATTAAATCTTTTGTCTTCACTCTTGATTGGTGGACCTAATTCTCCCTTTTACAAAGCCTTGATTGAATCTGGACTTGGCACAGGCTTTTCGCCTGATGTTGGGTAAGTTTTATTACTAGATTAAATCAGTAGTTCTCAAGGAGGCATGGTTTTGCCCTCCAGGTAATGTTTGTTAATGTCCATAGAGATTTTTGGTGGTCACAACAGAAGGAGGGATGCTGCTGGCATCTCATGGGTAGAGAGGCCAGGGATGCTGCCAACCATCCTTCAGTGCACAGGACCACATACCTCCTCCCCTAGAACACAAAACTCTGGATTAGATTGGGGCTTCAGGAGAAGTTACTTATAGAGCCCTGTAAGGGACATTTGGCCAAAAAAAAAAAATAGTTTTTCCAATATCTTGGAATGTTCTGTGCCTGTTTTAAAAGTCAGGACGTTAAATATTCTTTGAAATCTTAAGATTCTGTAAAACTCAACAGTTCTTTTTCTAGATTTAGTTTGCTGTAATTCTAAGGTTTGTATCGATTTTTAGAAATAATAAAAGGACATAATCTAAATGTGACAAATTATATATGAGAAGTGAATAGCTGAGAATACTGCTTTAATGATTGTGTTAGTGGAGGATTTGGAAGTTTAGAGATCTAATAAGTTCTATTCTGTAGAGTATTTGATCTTTAAATATATGGGAATGATGAAAACTGTATGTATCATCTCTGTTTTTGAATTCTAGGTATAATGGCTACACAAGGGAGGCCTACTTCAGTGTAGGCCTACAAGGGATTGCAGAGAAAGATATTCAGACAGTCAGAAACATTATTGACAGAACAATTGATGAAGTCATTGAGTAAGTATGGCTTCTTTGCAATGATTTGATTTCATTCTTAATTCATGAATATTTTATGGTAAGGGGCATGATCCTTCTCAATTGTGTGGCCTTTTCTTTATGCAATAAAGCATGTATTACTTCATCTTTGGTTGTTTTAAATATTATATCTACTACCTTGCATTTCTAAAATATTTCTTTTCAACATCTGTTAATTTTGTTATACAGAAAAGGATTTGAAGATGATCGAATTGAAGCTTTACTTCATAAAACTGAAATACAAATGAAGCATCAGTCTACCAGCTTTGGACTTACACTGACATCGGTATGTGATCTCTCAACTGCCTCTTTATTTTTTCCTTTTTGACTTTTATAATTAGTGGCTCTTGACAGCACTGAAAATACAGATTGATGTTGATAGCACCTTTCATTTGAACTTGAGGTATGTATATTTTCAGAAAGTTACATAATTTCAGATCTGATGTAAATTTACTCTTTTAGTTATTTTAATAATATATAGCTTGTGATTTTATAATATATTGTCTGACTTTTTACTAGTTCATTGGCTTTGCGATGATAGCGTATGTTTTCATATGAAATAGTTTTACACAGAATACTCTAAATGGATAGAAATGGGTGATAGCTAGTGATCTGTTAGTAATGATTACATTTTTAAAAAATAGTATAAACCTATGCTCTTCATTTTATTAGAAAATAATTGAGTTAAGATGAACTTAGTTTCTCTTCTTCCAACCAAATAATGACTCAATTTTTGTTACAAACAGTCATCTGTGGTACATTTAAATACAGAAACTAAGATCTCAATAAAATGTAAAGCCTTTGTTATTTAACTGGGTTAATATAGCATTTATAGTGTAATATGCATTGTGAATTTAAAATTCTTTGTTCCAGTACATAGCTTCTTGTTGGAATCATGATGGAGACCCTGTGGAACTCTTGAAATTAGGAAATCAAATGGCTCAATTCAGGCAGCGCCTTAAGGAAAGTCCAGTATTTTTGCAAGAAAAAATAAAGCAGTATTTCAAGGTAAGAAAATTGAAGAATTTATGTCTGTAATTTTGAAGTTGAATTTTATAATAATGAAAGGAACATAATCTACATTATGTAAGACTGTGCTAATGAGTAGGTGACATAATTTCTCACTTGTTAATTAAAATTGTAATGCTTATGTTAACTTTAAAAATTTCCAGATTGTAATGTAGGTTGGTTTTTATATGTGAATATGTGTGTATTTTTTATATATGAATGCATGTATCTGTGTGCATGTACGTAGAGCTAACAAAACATTTCCATGTATTCTTTTTTTAAAATAAAAAAATCACATAAAATATGAGAACAGTGGATATTCTGTTTTTTTTTTTAATGGAATTCTTTTGATGCTTGTTTGTTTTCCTAGATTTTTAGGCATTTGTACTTGTTTGTATGTTACCTGGTATATATTCATTAATATGGCAGAACTTTTAAAAACATGGTACTGTGCTGGGTAAGACTGTTGTCTCTATATAAGGGTAACTATTTTAATATGCACCATTGTTTTGGACATGGGACGTAATTTGACCTGCAATATCTCTAAGTTATTATAAGTTATTTTACATAAAATTTCTGTTATTCTAATTTTTCCACCTCTCTGTAGTCTTACAAACAAGCATTTTTTGTGTTTTCAATTGCTGAAATAAATAAGAGAAGCAAGTTAATCTAACAAAAGATATTAGATTAGATCAACACTTATCTTGTCCTCAAACTTACAAAGTTCTGAATGGAGAAGTTCTTACTTTTGAGAAGTTAATAATATAATGAAGGCTAGATAAAAATAAAGTTATTTAATTCTGTTATTTTAAATTTACTCTAAAATCAAAGATTTATAGTATCAGAAAGTACTGTTTCTTTTTCCAACCAAAGTGTAAAGAAAATGTTGAATACTTATACTTTTATGGTGAAAACATAGTGACCATAATGTAATACTAATAGTAATAATAACAACATATATGAATTATATACTTACTACATATGGGTCAGAATCGACTCAACGGCAACGGGTTTAGTTTTTTGGTTTGGACATACCAGATATGGTTCTGTAACCATATGTGGCTTATATAATTTAATCTGCAAAACAACCCTTCAAGGAGAGTTTTATTATTATTACTATTATTTTATTGTTATTACTACAGAACCAAGAATACAATGGCAGAGGCTGGTTCAATATATTAAGTTTTAATAAATTCTTGTTTTAAATTGGCTTTTTTGTTACTGTTGTTGCAGAATAATCAGCATAAGTTGACTTTATCAATGAAACCAGATGACAAATATTACGAGAAACAGACACAAATGGAAACAGAAAAACTACAGCAAAAGGTCAATTCTCTTTCTCGAAAAGACAAGGAACGGATATATGAAAAAGGTTAGATATTCTATTTTGTTCTTAGTAATTAAGAAGATAGCCTTATAAGATGACATGCTGGCCTTCTCCCAAATCCAGTGAACTTTTAAAATTAGTTAATAGTTGGAGGCTGGTTATTATTTCAGTCAACAAATTTTATTGGGCATCTATAAAGTTCCATCCCTATTCTTAGAAAATTTATACTGTGGTTTGGCAGGCAAGGAAGGAATACTTAAAAAGAAGTTGCATTATGAGATTGATTTATTTTATAAATTTTATGAATGCTTTCTGCTTACCACATGATATAATATACCAGTAAAATTTATTTCATGTTTCAATATATAATTAATCATCAAGTGAACAACATAGACAGGATCAGCTATGAGTTTAGAAGGAACAAATCAGTGACTGTAAAGAATTGGCAGATCTCACTGAGCTAAGTAAAGGACTCGAGCTGGTCATGAAGCACAACTAGAATCTGTATGTAGGCACGGTAAAGATACGGAAATTGGATAGTGTGCCTCTTGTTCAGAGGGTGATGAATATGATGATATGGATGAAATAAAGTGTTTGGGAAAGACTGGGACAAGAATGAAGAGTTGAGACCAAATTGTGGAGTACCTCGAATCTAAGACTGCTGAGTATGTACTTCATTCATTAAAGTATAAGGAGTTGTAGAAAATCTTTGAGTAATAAAATGGTGATATTCAGTATAATTTCAAGGACAAAGAGAAATTAGATAGAGAAACTCTGAAAAGGTGATTAGAAACCTAGGCATGATATGAAGACCTAAGCTAGGATGTTGTGGTGTGAGTGAAGTCCAAATTTAGAAGACCTTGTAAATGTTTTCACATTTAGTTGGAATTAGGAAAGAGATAGGACAACAAGACAGAAGAGAGGGATCAAAATTAATTCTCAATCAAAAATCATCTGGCCTCTGGAAGAAAATGTTTGCAAAATACACATTAAAACGTGTGAGAGCTGCAACTTGACGGGACTGGTCTGTTTTTCTGGGTCTTGCGAGTTTTCTGCCTTTGACAGTATGCAGTCACCACTTTTCTATAGCTCTCTACGGGCATACCTCGTTTTATTGTGCTTTGCTTTATTGCACTTCGCAGATACTGTGTTTTTTACAAATTAAAAGTTTGTGGCAACCCTGCATTGAGCAAGTCTGTTGATTTTTCCACTAGCGTGTGCTCAAGTCATGTCTCTGTGTCATGTTTTGGTAATTCTCACAATATTTCAGACGTTTTCGTTATAATTATATCTGTTATGGTGATCTGTGGTCAGTGATCTTTGATGTTACTCTTCTGATTGTTTTGGGGTGCCATGAACCATGCCCTATAAGATGGCGAACTTAATCGGTAAGTGTTGTGTGTGTTCTGACTACTCCACCAGATGGCCATTCCCCCATCTCTCTCTGTCTCCTCGGTCTTCCCTATTCCCTAAGACACGACAATATTGAAATTAGGCCAATTAATAACCCTAGAAGTGTTCAAGTGAAAGGAAGAGTCACACATCTCTCACTTAAAATCAAAAGCTAGAAATGATTAAGCTTAGTGAGGAAGGCATGTCAAAAGTCGAGACAGGCCGAAAGGTAGACCTCTTGCACCAGTTAGCCATGTTGTGAATGCAAAGGAAGAGTTCTTAAAGGAAATTAATAGTGCTACTTCAGTGAACACAAGAATGATAAGAAAGCAAAACAGCCTGATATGGAGAAGGTTTTAGTGGTCTGGATAGAAGATCAAACCAGCCACAATATTCCCTTAAGCCAAAGCCTAAACCAGAGCAAAGCCCTACCCCTCTTCAATTATATGAAGACTGAGAGAGGTGAGGAAGCTGCAGAAGAAAAGTTTGAAACTAGCAGAGATTGGTTTGTGAGGTTTAAGGAAAGAAGCCGTCTCCATCACATAGAAGTGCAAGGTGAAGCAGCAAGTGTTGATGTGGAAGCTGCAGCAAGTGTTGAAGTAGAAGCTGCAGCAAGTTATCCAGAAGATCTGGCTAAGATGACTGATGAAGATGACCACACTGAACAATACGTTTTCAGTGTAGTCGAAACAACTTTCTATTGAAAGAAGATGCTATCTAGGACTTTCATAGCCAGAGAGGAGAAGTCAGTGCCTAACTTCAAAGGACAGGCTGACTCTCCTGTTAGGGGCTAATGCAGCTGGTGACTTTAAGTTGAAGCCAGTGCTCATTTACCATTCCAGAAATCTTAGGGCCCTTAAGACTTATGCTAAATCTACTCTGCCTGTGTTCTATAAATGGAATAACAAAGCCTGGATGACAGCACATCTGTTGACAACATGGTTTACTGAATATTTTAAGCCTACTGTTGAGACCTACTGCTCAGAAAAAAAGATCACTTTCAAAATATTACCGCTCATTGACAGTTCACCCGGTCACTGAAGAGGTCTGATGGAGATGTACAAGGAGATTAACGTTGTTTTCATACCTGCTAACACGTCCATCCTACAGCCCATGGATCAAGGAATAATTCCAACTTTCAAGTCTTATTATTTAAGAAATACATTTTGTGAGGCTAAAGCTGCCATAGATAGTGATTCCTTTGATGGATCTGGCCAAATTAAATTGAAAACCTTCTAGAAAGGATTCATCATTCTAGATGCCATTAAGAACATTTGTGATTCATGGGAGGAGGTCAAAATATCAACATTAACAGGAGTTTGGAAGAAGTTGATTCCAGCCATCATGGATGACTTTGAGGGGTTCAAGACTTCAGTGGAGGAAGTAACTCCAGACATGGTAGAAATAGTAAGAAAACTAGAATTAGAAGTGGAGCCTAAAGATGTAACTGAATTGCCGCATCTCATGGTAATGATCAGTGGATACGGAGTTGCTTCTTATGAATGAGCAAAGAAAGTGGTTACTTAGGATGGAATATATTCTTGGTGAAGGTGCTGTGAACATTGTTTAAATGACAACAAAGGATTTAGAATATTACATAAGCTTAGTTGCTAAAGCAGCAGCAGGATTTGAGGGGATTAACTCCAAAAATTTTGAAAGAAGTTCTACTGTGGATAAAATGCTATCAGATAGCATTGCATGCTCTAGAGAAATCTTTTGTGAAAGGAAGAGTCAGTTGATGCAGCGACTTCATTGTTGTCTTATTTTAAGAAATTTCCACAGCCACCCCAACCTTCAGCAGTCACCACACTGATCAGTCAGCAGCCTTCAACATCGAGGCAAGACTCTCCACCAGCAAAAGATTATGACTCACTGAAGGCTCAGATGATGGTTAGCATTTTTTAGTAAGAAAGTATTTTTTTAATTAAGGTATGTACTTTTTTTTTTAGGCATAATGTTGCACACTGAATAGGCTACAGTAGTGTGTAAACATAACTTTTATATGTACTGGGAAACCAAAAAATTCATGTGACTATCTTTATTGCAATATTTGCTTTATTGCAGTGGTCTGGAACTGAACCCACAGTGTCTTTGAGGTGTGCCTGTATTTAGTGGAAAGTATTTGAGTTTTCCTTCCCTGACATGTTTCCACCTTACATAGGTTCCTGCTTTCACAGGTTTAAATATATAATATATAATAAAGGACTTATATCCATTATATGTTAAGAAATCAACAAACCCATTGCTGTTGAGTCGATTCTGACTAACTCAGTAATGGGAAATCAAACAACTCAATTTAAAAAATGCACAAAAAATTTTAACAGATACTTTACATAAGAAAATACACAAATGACAAATAAGTACATAAAGCATTGTTGGGAATAACTTCATTATTAGGAAAATGCATCATTATTTCTTAGGAAAATGCAGATTAAAACTTCAGTGATAACACCATTCCACACCCACTAGGATGGCTAAAATTTTAAAAAAAACTGCCAATACAAAATGTTGTCAAAGATGTAAAGCAAGTGGCACTTTTATAAGTTGCTAATAGCAAAATGGTATAGCCGCTTAGGAAAACTGCTTTACAATTTTTTATATTGTTAAACATATACTTACCATGAAGCCTAGCAGTACTCCTGCTGAGTATTTATTCAAAAGAAATGAAAACATGTCCACACAAAACCTGAAACAACCTAAATTTCCATCACTTGGTAAACAGATAAATTCACTTAGTGACTGGATGAATCTCAAGAGCATTTTGCTAAGTGAAATAAGTCACAGAAAATACATACTAAATGTGTCCATTTATGTGAAATCCTAGAAATGACAAAATTATAATGACAGAAAACAGGTCAGTAATTGCTAGAAACCAGGAGTGGGTGTAGAGATTGAGTTGCAAAAGTGCATGTGAGAACTTTTTTCATCATAAAACTGTTCTGTATCATGATTATGTATTGCCCAAACTCATTGAATTTTATCTTTAAATTGTGAGTTTTATTGTAGGCAAATTACACCTCTATAAACTCTATTAAAAAAATATATATAGTGCACACATACACATATACGTGCATACATATGTACCCTCCCCACAAAACATGATAGTTGGGCTGGAATTATATGAGGAATCTTAGGCTTTTCAGGAGATAAGAGTTGACTTTATGTGAAAAGTAAGTAATTCCATTTAGATCATGCTAAGTTTGAGGTATCTAGTAAAGGCAAAATTAATGTAAACCTATAATCTATTCTTATTTTTATCAGTGAATTCTTGCTGAGACATACAGCTATTTTAAGCTCTGTGATAAATTTAACACACTAATTGTGAAAATATAATAAACTTCTCTTCTGTGAGTGCCAGTTGACAAGTTTCAATCTCTCATATTTACTAAAAGCCATTTATAAGTACACAAGATGACCCATGCCTAAGTAGCAGAATGTGTGTTCCCTAAGCTGTTCCAAATCCATGGCTTGTCCTTTCTGTGTCCTCTGCTTTAAGAATACCTTGTATACTACAGCACCAACCTGTATGCTAATGAATGATGTTTTCCCTTTACAAACGTATGTTTTTACTTGACAGATTCACTGCAGAGTTCCTTTAAAGTAGGACACAATGCTAGCGCATTTAATGATTATTTCAGATCAGTAAGTCTTGAAATACGGACTTAGGTGTCAGGAAGCTCTCTGAATTAAAGCCCAATCTATAGATATACATGAATGAAAAACATATGAATGGGGAATCATTTAATTTATTAAAACCTTTAAAGAATGCACAAGCATTTTGGTGTCTGTGTGTAATGTATTGGGTGTTGTGAGGGGATGTAGCCTCTACCATCAGAGAGCTTGTGATCTGGTGAAAGAAAAAAGAAAATTGGTGGACTTTTTATACTGTGTGATTTCAGAGAGGGAGCATTTGCGGTGTCAGAGCCATTGCAGAATGTGTTAAAGGAGGTGGACCCTTGAATATTGGTAAGGCTGGATAGGGGCAGGGAGAGCCTTTTTCACATCAGGGATACAGTGTGAGCAAAGGCACACAATTAGCAATCGTCTGAGTGGCATGGTTTTGGGAAACCAGATAGAGGAAGGCCTTAAATGTCAGTAGGTTAGAGATTAATGTTTTAGAGAACCTTTCTAATAGCAGATCCTTAAGCTCATTTTAGGAAGGATTGTCTTGTTACACTTTTATACCCTGGATTTTTCTTTTTTTTTTTTTTCCCGTTCGCAGGCTTTTCTGCCTCTGAAACCTCAGTACCTGACTCTGACCTCAGTCACCTAAATGTCTGCAATCCCTTTATCCCACCAAACTTCTTTGCTAACTTAAATACCACAGTCCCTGACCATTCCATGGTCTCGCAGTCTTTTGTCTCAGTTCCTTTAATTCTTATTCAAAGCCCACTCTCTTGCCATGATGTCTGGCATCCCCTCCCTCCATCTCTCCATGGATAACTGCTTTGTCAGACCTCAACCAGTTCAGTCTTCCACTTGCTCTCCTTCTGTATTCAGGCTGCTGAGTGCTGTCGGGGGAAGCCGCATGCTGGTATGGTTTGGGGCTGTTACAGATAGTTGTCTTGTCCTCGAGTTGATTCTGTCTCATAGTGACCCTGTCGGATAGAGTAGAACGGTCCCATAGGGTTTCTTAGGCTGTAATCTTTATGGGAGCAGATCACCAGGTCTTTTCTTCCTTGGAGCCACTGGTGAGTTGGAACTGCAAATCATTCACTTAGCAGCTTAACCTTTGCACCACCAGAGCTCCTCATTTGACACTATTAACCCCTTTTGTCTTGAGACTTCCCCTGCTCCCTTTTTATTTACTTGTAGTAGTGTAGCTACACCAGCTTTCTGTTACTGTTTTCATAGTTTATCTTTTTTTTCCATCCTTTTATTCTGAGCCTTTCAATATTCTTATATTTAAGGTATTTCTCTTTTAAATAGCATATATTGGGTTTTGTTTTTACATTGAGTCTGATAGTCTTTTAATTGAAATATATAATCTATTTACATTGATGTAATTTACTGATAAATGTGGGTTTGTATCCATCGTCTTAACTACTTATTACCTTTTTGACCCTCTTGTTTGTTTTTTACTTTCATTTCTTGACACTTTATGGATTAATCCATTTTTTATTATTCAGTTTTCCCTATTAATTCATTAGTAATGTATCCTTTAATTATTCTTTTAGTGATTACCCTAGAGATTACAACAGACATCCTTGATTAATTTATTAGAGTTTAATGCGGATTATTATTGCTTTTACCTCAGTGTCTTTAGATGGGACAGTCTCATGGATGACTCATCACTCAGGATTTGGGGTGGGGAGAGGAATGTCAAAGCCTTCTGTGAAAGAAAGGGAGTGGCCTAGGAGGTTTGTAAATGACAGTGATGAGGAGGGATGGAGGGTGTAGAGCTGAATGGCAGGAGTCTCAAGCTTCTCATGTGAGCCTAGAAAGTGGTCAAGAAGTGGTGGTGGTCAGTGAGACCCTGCTTCTTCTCATCTGTCTGAGTTGTGTGACTTAGGAAAAATAAATACCTCCACTTCAGAGGGCTGCAGTGAAAGTAGTATCTATTCACTTTAGACCAAGAGATATAGGAACCAAAGTTAGCTGGTCATGGAAATAGCTATTCCAGAGTGTACATCTGAAGAGTCATAAGTAGAGGGTGGTTTCAGCTTTTACTTTCCTATGGGGCACAGGAGTGTCTGTGGAGAGCGTATGTGTGACATGAGATACTTGCTGCCCATGAACCCCATAGTCATTTCGTACTTAGGATTCCCATCTCTAAGTGGACAGCTCAAGGAGCTGTTGTGATAGGAACTTTAAAAAGGTGGAAATGGAAGATTAGTGAAGCTACTACTCTTCCATTTAAAGGTAAGCATATCAGACACCATGAGTAAGTATCGTTTACCATGATTTCAAGTTAAAATACTAAATCAGTTATAGTAACCCCCTGCAAATCATGTATGTAAAACAGTGTACTTTTATAAATGACAGAATTTTAAACTGTGAAGTCTTCTTATACATAAACCATTCTGTTCTATCCTTAAAAAAAATACTAGAAAACTTGAATTCTCTCTTCCCATAGACTGTGTGATTCTGTGGAATAATTCTATGAAACAGGAGCTTCTATTATGTAAATAGACTATCAGGCCCCCAAAATGTATTTTTAAGCATTGCTATAACTTGTGAAATTTGTGTGAGCATAAAAGCATTTTGCTGGATTAGTGAAAATGAAATAGGAGCAAACAAGTGCAAAGGTCATTAAATTGCAAGCCAGCAAGAAATGTTTTGAAAACCCTAAAAAAAGTACAATCTATGTAGTAAAAAATTTGTGGAGGTGATTGAAAAACTGCTTGAGTAAACCACTGCTCTCCAGTAATTTTTTTTTTAATAATTCAAAAATAAGAATTGGAAAAAGGGCCACCTACCAAGCCAGGTTATTAATGCCTTGTAATCTAGTTTGGAAATAGCAGATGCCTTATAAACCATAGTACTAATGTACTCCTAGCAGTTGGCACAGGATTGCTATCTTTTTAATGGAAGTTAATAACACATAAGAGATAAACTACATGAAATCTCTTAATTACAGTCCCAAATGTTCATTTCTCTTTTTTCTTTTTTTTAGGTTTAGAATTACGGACTCAGCAAAGTAAAACTCAAGATGCCTCTTGTCTACCAGCTTTAAAAGTTTCGGATATCGAGCGTACCATACCTTTTACTGAGTTGGATGTAACATTGGCAGGTCAGTGCAAACACTGTAGTTTGCATGGGTGCAGGTTTTCTTTAGGGAGCCTGGTGGCGCAGTGGTTAAGTACTCAGCTGCTAACTGAAAGGTTGGTGGTTTGAACCCACCAATGGTTCCGTGGAAGAAAGATGGTGGGAGTCTGCTCCCATAAAGATTACAGCCTAGGAATCCCTGTGGGGCAGTTCTGCCGTGTTCTTTGAGTTGGAATTGACTTGACAGCAACAGATTCGGAATTTTTCTTTAGTTAAATATCAATATCCACAGTCATATTTTGAATGCTTTTCATGAAACATTCGAATGTCCCTATTATAGTTATTTCTGTTCACATTTCTTATAAATTGTTTTTAACACTCAGTGTGATAGACTTGTCTGCTGTGAGCTTCTTGTGTTTGTTTTCCTGGGAGTGGATTTGGTATGACTTTGTACTCTGCCACTTCTAGAGTTAGATGAGGATTTGGGTTATGCTACAGCTGTAGTAAGTGCAGTTTATAAAGCGTATAGTTTGAGATACAGACCTAAGCTAACTCTTCCACTCAGTTGTAAGTATATGAGAGAGACTGTAAGAAGTAGATTAGAATGTCATTAGGTACCAATGAGTCATGGAGAATGGAAAGGGAGTTCCAGGTTGCTGCCCTCATCCTCCTGTCTCATGCTAGTGTGTCATTCTGTAGTCTGCCACTGTTCTTGCGTTCTTGAAGGTACTCAGTTTCACTTTGGCTTCTGGTTGGTAGCATGTGACATACAACTCTTGAAGAATGTTACCCTGTTAGGTGTTGACTTTCAGCCTGCAAGTGGACATTAATTTACTTTATTAATCTGTCCTGAGGAATGTCTTACCACAGTGTTACGCTTTAACTTGTATATGTCTAGGATAAGGCTCTAGACTGCATGTGAACATTACTTTGTTTTTTGTGAAGCAACTCTAGCTTTTTTTTTTTTAAACATTGCTTATCGTGTTTACCATATCTGATTTATTTGTATATGTGTGTGTGCATGTAAATGAAATATTTTCTTCTAGACTAGGCTCCTTGAAAGTGGAGTCAGTGTTCCACTTATCTTTAATCCCTCCACAGTTTTTATGTATAAATAAAGCTCACTGATGCTCATTAAAAGAGTTAGTATAAATCAGTTTTAGTTCCTCTTCTGGTTCAGGGAATTGTGCTCGGGATATAAAAATATAATACATGATACCTACCCTTGAAAGTCTTAGAAATAACTTTGAAGACATGGGATATGAATAGCAATACAGAATATCATATGCCCACTGCTGCATGAAGTGGGTCATTGGGGAAGGTTTTATTCAAGAGATAGTAGGAGTAGGACCTAAAAAGCGTGGGTAGGAGTTCCGGCAAAATGGCACTCTAGGCAGAAGCACCACGCCATCCCTCCACAGCAAAGATCCGAAAAACTAAGC